TACATTCATGTAAGCATGGTCAATTGACCATCCTTCGTTGAGAAATTACACTGTATATAGGTAAAAATATTAAGGTTTAGAGGTATATAACATGTATTGATTTTATTTTTACTTCATTCAAGTTTGAATACCCTTGGGGAAATTTCTGGCTTCGCTACTTCTCCTACATATAAACTTCTCGCGAATTATGTTGGAACTCCAGCACATTATGCTGGAAGCTCGTATGTAAAAAATTACTCCAATATATTATGCTGGAAGCTCATATGTAAAAAATTCGAACTCCAACATATTATGCTAGAATATTTTCGGATTTTTAAGGGTGTTTTTGTTCAGATTTTATCTTTGCATGAAAAAGTGGCTAAATGTGCTATTTTTCAATTACCAGTTATAAATCCGGCTATTTTTTTTTCCTTACATGTTCTATATTTCCTTTATATAATTCAGGTCCGAAAACCAAACATCTTTGCTGACACATGTAATTTAAATGTTAACGACTTAGGCCATCTCCAACCATTCCCCCATTTTCCCCCCCAAACTTTTTTATATTCTTCTCTCTCTTCTATATTATATTATGAAAGAATTACAAGAAAATACACATGACTTCACACCATAACAAAAAATGACCCATATTTTTAAGTTTTACCCCACCTAGCCCATGTTATACATATTTTGAAAACTGAAATGGTATTTTAAATTCTTAAGCATTATGACCTTTCCATATCTATTTAGCGTTACATATCCTCTCCAGAAAGAGGTCTTCTAAAAGCTTCTTCTTTGCTGCTCGTGTTTTTCAATTACAATTGCTTAAAATTAGAGTGTCAATTGTTATTACTCCCTTCGTCCTATTTTTATTGATTTTAGTTGGAAATATTGTGCTTTTGAAAATACTAACAAATTCAAAATTTGTGTTCTTACAACCATTGCTTCTAAAAGTTATGGAGTTAAATCTATGTTCTCACAACCATTGCTTTCACTCTCTCTTCTTCTCACATCTTCTACATATGTTTCAAGGGACCGTGTATTTTCTGCTTGTCCTCTTGTGTCACCTGCTTGCAATGTAAGAAAATTGAAGAGTAGAAGTCCACCATTGGAGACCATTCAAAGCTTTGTTTTTGAAAATGGTCTTTTTGAATTTGTTAGTTGTTTGCATTGGGTGTTGTTCCAATTGATTGAAAATATCAATAGGAGTTCAAAATTTAAATTTGAAGTGATTTGGAGTAGATTTGAGCAAGATTTGAGTTAAATTTCAGAAAAGACGCAAGGAAGAAGACGAAGTCAGTTTTTTGTATAATTATGTATAATCTTGAATAATAGTGTATATTAGTGTAGAAACACAGCTTATACACTATTATACACTTTTATACACCTTTATACAAGCGTCTGTAGACGAACTTCTTCCACGATTTTCAGTTGCAATTCTTGTTCAAAACCAGTCCAAATCTCCATTAAATGACTTCAAATTTTATGTACAACCTCCTTATACTATTTCTAACAAGTCTAAATAACACCCACTCCAAATTTCTCACAAAATCAAATTCGGAATTTAAACCCACATATTTGAGCTTGTTAAAAACTAATATTCACCACCCAAATGAATTTGGTTTGTTGAATTAATATTTGAGTCACAGTTAGTTACTGATTCGAAAATAAATTTAAAAGCTTGAGGAATCTTTTTTAAAAATTAAATAGTAATTTTGAGAATCTATTGGAGTTGAATGTTGAATCTTAGCCTATTATTTTTGGGCTAGTTGATTGTAAATTAAAATATGGGCTATAAAATTGAAAAGTAGGGAGCCCAGTTGTTCTAATGTGAAATTGTTCCTTATATTATTATCTTTCATTTCAATTTTATTTTTTAATTTCCATTAAACAAATTCCATCTTTTATTTTATTAATTTGTAATTTCCATAATTAAAAAAATTCCACCAAATTTTAAATAATATAATTTGTAAGCAATTATTATAGATTTGCTATTTACCGTAGTTTCAATTTTTATGTATTTTAATTTAATGTATTTTCAATTGTCTTGTATTTCCAATTTTAATGTATTTTTATTTAATGTATTTTCAATTTTTACTTTTCAATTTTAGCAACATATAATATTTTATATTCGCACCTTTCAATTTTAACAACGTCTAATATTTTATATTTGCACCATTCATTTTTTGAGATAATTATATATTTTTTGTACAATTAACTTATAATTTTACATAAGAATAATAAATGCACGAAAATTAATTTATCAAAATTATACACCAAATTTAAGATATAATATTAATATTATAAAGTCATTACATAAACATAATTAGGTATATATAAAGAGATAAATTAAAAGATTAAATAATAGAATAATAATAAAATATTGATGAAATAGTAATGGGGGAGATGAATAGTGTACCCCATATTTGAGGGATCCCCCATTAGATAAAAGCGTTTTGCAACTAAAACATAAAAAAGGAAAACTTGGGGCAAATTAAAAAAAGAAAAGAGAAATGCTTGGCTATATATTAAAATGCGATAGAATAAAATTATGATGATCTCCAACTGATTTAATTGACAAGCAATTAGCAAAAAGACAGTGATGGATTGGCGCATCCAATTCTATGACTCCAATTGAAAGATGAATCACTAAAACATCAATTAACTTTTGTTGTTTTGAGATATCATTTCATTTTTTACAAAAAAGGAGAAAGGAAAGGCCACATGAGGTTGCTTTCTTTAATTGCCTCAAGTCAAGACCGAGTTCCCAACCCACCATCGGCTTAAAGATTTTTACCCATCTCTTTCTCTCCTCCCTTTTTTTTTTTGAACACACTAATTAATAAAAAATAAAAATTGCATGACCATTGTTACTGGCTCTAATTCTTGAGGCCGCTACTTGTACGTGTAAGATAGTTTGTTATTTTTTGAAATTGGGAAGTGTAGGATTGTTCCCACATCGGATCGGAAGAGAGAAGTCTCTTTTGGAGCCTTTTGTTCACTTTCATGTCTTTGATTTAGGACACATACTTTAAATATGTGCAATTAAGTACATTATATATTATATAATCAAAGACTTGGGCTTGGGCGCAAGCCAGGTCAGATCCTAAAGTTAATTATTTTACTTTTAATTTTATTTTGTGATAGAAAATTAATTTATTTGAATTTTAAATTCAAAATTCGAATAAACAGTTATGTCTATTATGAAAGGGTCTGTTGAGAGATGTCTGTTTGTGAAACAAGACATCTTTTCTAAAATGCTCTGTTGGTTGCCTATAAATACACAAGAATTCCCAATGAACTGGCATAGAAAAATCACAAGTATTATTGCGGGCTTTGTTGTATCCTGAAGAGAATTGTTTTGTATTTTCCCAAATTAGTATACAGGCATAACTCTTTAAGGACAATCGATTTTCACGCCTCAAAGCCGTTTTGTTTTATTATTTTCTAACAGTACGCCAATTACTTTTCAGCCAATATTTGACGTTTTACTTATTATCCACTAACTAATAGTCGTACCCCGCGATTCGCAGTCAATATTAAAAAATATTAATTAAATTTAATTTTGATCGGGCTAGTTTGAACATATTAGATCATATTGCTTTAATAAATGTCAATTGTCATCTTATTTGTCACTACATATAGCTAATAATAAAATCTCTATTAAATTAAAGGGACTTATATAGGCGTCGAATAACTATTTTGTTAGTATTATTACATTATTAATAGAAATTTTTATTGGCGTATTTACTTTGTTTAGTATTTTTTTCTGCTACTTTTTTTTTAATAATATAATAGAGATATATATTTTATTATTCTTAACATATTTTTTAATTTTATGTTTTATTATCTTATCTTTAATATTGTTTGAATTTTAATGAATAAATTTTTAATTTAAAAAAGAAAAACGAAATTGATTTTAAAAAAAACAAAGAAATTAACTAACCTAAACCACCCCTCATCCATGTTTGAGTAGTTAATTTGATTGTGTCTTTTTTTTTTTCTTTCATTTTATCATTTTCTTTTCTTTAATTTTTTTAAAATAATTTTGAATCTCCAAATTTTGTTGGAGATTTGTCCTAAAATTTGACACTTATTAAATTTTTATTGTTACACTTGACATCATCACATTTATTTTCTTCTTCTATTTTATATGAAAAATATAGATAGATAGCTGTATTATTAGTCATTACTTGTGATCTCACGTTCTCATAAATGCTACTACTAATTAACCACTGTATACTTATTTGTTTTGCTGAAAACTTTCTACACCTATGTACATATGAGTTTTTTCTTTATTCTCTAATTAGAAAACGAAGGCTATTGAATCAGCTAAACTACGTGGGTGGTGGTTATCCATGCGACAGCTCCTTATATACGATTAGTCCTTTCTGTAACGTCATCCCTATATAATAAAACTTTACTATAAAGCCAAGTTTTTCCGGAACTAATTTTCATGTTATGATATAATGTATGTTCTCTATAACAGCACTTCGCTATAACATCCAAAAATATTCGGAACAAACGAGGCTGTTATATAGATATTTGACTGTATATTCTATCGACATAAGTTAACGAGCGTACGTTTTACTAAAATGTTCTTTGTGATCCACAATATATTCATGTTAGTTTTTGAGGTTATATTCAGAAGGGAACAAATCAAGAATATTACTGCCAATAAAAATTCTACCGTGCTAAACCCGAATCTTGTAAAGAGAACAAGGTATTTGCACCTCGTTTTGGTTTTTATTAGTTAATTTCAACTATACTTATATTTTTACCAATGCTCCATTAGTGGCGGATCCAGGATTTTAAGGTCGTGGGTGCTCACTTTCTTTTAATATAAAGGTGCTATGAATCATAAAATATAAGTGCAAATTATTCGAACGGGGCGATGAAAAAAACTAATGATAAAAATAGGATTACTATTGTCATTACCAAAAATGACTTCTAGCCACGAGTCATGATAATAATGTTATCATTACAAAAAAAGGACTCTTAGTCATAACTCACAACTGTGCTCAACGACTTTTTATATGTTGAAAACGATGAATAATAGCATCATTGCTGACACTTGAAAATATCTTACGCTCTACATAGCAAACTAAACAACTATTTAGAAATACATCACCGATGCTGTTACAAAGTTCACTTTTGATGTAGTTCATGGATGAGAAAGCTTGTTCCACAGAAGCTGTAGCAACATGAAGAATGAGAGTCAACTTGATAAGCAAATAAACAAATGACCAAGTTTGATGCAGATCTGACTTAACCAACACTTTAGCAAGATCACTAATTCCCTTCATGCCAAAGAACCTCTTGTCAACCCACGTGCATAAACTATAAAACTATCAAGCTGACAACTGAGATCTCGAAGCTTGCTACTATCAAACTCATTTGGATAATATTCAGCCAACCTCATTATCCTCTTCTTATCAAAACTACCAAATGAATTAACTGGATTTAAGCTAGCCATACCGAGGAGTAAGCCATTTTTTGTAAAAGCATATCCCGTATTTCCATGACTTTCATGTTCATTTTTGAACAAATACCAACACAAACAATATGCAGCATCTTTTGATATATTGTATTCCAACCACGTAGAATGTTGACCCTTAAACCAACCAGGACAAAACTGACGCATTATCTTCCCAAACTTAGTTTGGGAAAATCATGATTCACAGGCTGGCAAGGCTTTTTTTGAATATAATATTTTCTAACTTCATCACGTATATTAGGGCTGTATTCTGTAATAGGTTTTCTATCTCCCAGATCAGCATTGAGAGATTCTAAATCAAGATCAGAAAGAAATGTGTCCCTCTGAATTTCCGGAGCTATGAATGAAGCAATAGATGGATTAGTAGAACTAGAACTTGGTTGCCCAACATTCGTTCTTGTGACAAACCTATCCATCTTGATTCACAAAGATTGATGAAATATTCCTACAGAATAAGATTCAATTTTATTCAATTTTACCTAAAATTCAATTCAAATAATTCAACTAAGTCCTATTGGGGAACTCATGCCCCTCTATAACAATACAAATAATAAAGCAATAACAACATATTTAACCACATTGCACCGGAAAACTGATCACACTTCTTTATAACTAAAAATATCAGAAATATTTATTCTTTCGGAAGATAAGATGAAAACTTACAAGTTTTCGAAGCAATGAGCCAATGAGGATAAATTCATCAATCACACAAACTGATACTAATAACCTACATTTATCCAAAAAAAAAAATCAGTTTTGAAATTAAGTCGAAAATGGAGATAAATTAATTTTTCACTTTTTGACAAGTACACATAACTATTGTTTATTTGCCACAAAACAATTACAATCATTGGGTGTATTCGTTAAAAAAAAAAAATTACTGAATCTATTTTACAAAGCATAGGTAATAAGAATTGTAATTTGTAAAACCTAATATCTTCGATAAAATTTCGTTATTTATACCCAAAATCTCTAGCTAACTAGCTTAAATCAAAATACCAAATTTTATTACCTTGTTCCTTGTGTTTTAATTTTGAGATGGGGAGGTCATGAAAACTTGTTATTCACTGTGTAGCCTGCGAAACCTACAAGGAGAACTAGAGAAGCCGAGAAGGATTATGTTTTAGTATTTTCCTTTTGTGTCTTTTGAAAGCCTACCAATGTTTTAACTAGTGGAGTATTCTTTTTCTCCTTTTCCTCTTCTAATTAGTAAATAAGAGGAAATAGAAAAAGAGTAAAAAAAAAGTAAAAGAAGGTAAGTAATAAATCAGCATTGAAAAGGATTAGAAAATAAGAAAGTTAACGATTTATTAAATAAGGAAAAGTGTTATTTTTTTTTTGAAAACAAAAAACGTTTCCAGCAAGATTCCACAACGTTAGGTGTCCAGACTTCCAAATTTCAACCACCAAATCAAAGCACCCATTGGACTTTTTGGTTAATGGGTACTTGCTAATATAATATATCGAATTTAATAAAGGGAAACTTACACAAATGTCCCAAATAAATCTCAACTTACCAACCTCTAGCCATTAATCATAGACTTACCAAAACTAGCCAACAAAAATTGAAAAACCAAATAATAGGGTTCTTTCTCTCAAAGAATCACATGCAAAAATCACCTTCCATATGTTTAAGCGTGATTAGCAACATTAGATACAAGACGGAAAGGAAATTTCATGGACGAGGTAGCAAATAAGGTGATGAAATACAAAAATCTATACAATATTTCAAAAATCTAAACAAAAAAAGGAACTTTTTCAATGGGTATAGTTGAAATTCATTGAAAATATATAGAAAAGTCAATATACAAAATTTGAGAATGATTGGAGGTGATTTGGACTGGTTTTGTATCAAAATTCGTAATTAAATCGAGTTCAAAAAAGTCTTCTGCGACACATGTATCAAACATGTATCACGCATGTATTACACACACAGGTATACATGGATATACATGTGATACACAATTGATACAAATATGATACATATGTGATACACACAGTGTGATACACATATCATTTTTTTTTTCATGTTCAGCTTTTACTTCGAGTTTTCAATTCAAACCACCTCAAAACTTCACCAAATCATCCCAAAACTGAGATTCAAGCTCCTTAAGTTGTGCCCAATCTATTCTAATAACACCCACTTAAAACAAAGCAAAAATTTGATATTTTTTGCTACAAATAGCTAATTGGCTAATTTGGCTAATATTAGTAATATTTTATCAATTGGCCAATTTTTGTAATGAGCTACTTATAAATGGACATAGCTGGTAATTTCCCTTTAATAAAATTTCTATATTAGTATACTGAGTTCCAGTCGGAATTAGTGGGTGCTGCAGCACCCAGAACCTTACACGTGGGTCCGCCCCTATGCTCCATGTGATAGTAATTCATATATACTAGATAAAAGTTTCATAAAATATAAAATCCAAATATTCTCTACCAAGTAATTAAGTTCTGCGCCTAAGTTGTAGCAAATGTAATCATGCAATCAACTGCTAACTGTTATACCTTTTCCAAATCATGAATAAAGATTATGTTTCTTCCCAATGCTAAATTTTTTCACGATTTACACTAAATTATATTTCATCCGTTCACTTTTAGTTGTCTACTTTTGACTTTGTATTCCTTTTAAGAAAAAGTAAATGAAGTATATATTTTACAATTTTACCCATAACAATGATGGTATTTTCAAAAGTCTTGGGAAAAAATTTGGGGAATAAGAAGTTAATGATAAAGGTAAAAATAGGAAGAAGAAAAAAGATTGTCTTCCTCTTGATTAATCCTTCCAGTAGTATCGGCCATTTATCCCACTTCCCTCCAGATTTCATTAGGTGATCATGCTAGAGACATAAACAGTCACGGATAATTAAATTATGAGATCCTTTCGAATGAGCTAAGAGAATCTTATTTATTCTCTTTCGTTTTCTTAATTGAAGAAATAATTGAAAAATAAAATAACAAGTACATAAATGAATAATAACCCCCCAATAGAGACTGATACGATTCAATTCAACATTTTGGTATGAACAAGTTTAAGTAAAAATATATTTTTAGTATAGTAGACAAGTAAAAATGAAGGGAGGGAGTACTACTAACCAATCATGGTCAAGTCAGCCTAAAGATAACTCTCTCTCTCTCTCTCTCTCTCTCTGAAAGACACACAACGACTATTTATAACCGCGATTTTCCTACACGCTCCAGTCAATGGACCCGCCAGACGGTGCCGCTCCAGCGCTCTGGAAGGTCAAACTACTCTAAACCCAATGGCGAACCAGCCTACTGAGCTTACAGATGGAAATTTGTCTTATGCTACAAAAGTCATCACTTTCTCGAATGTGCCAATTCTCCTAAATTGCCATGGCAGAGAATCACTTGTTGCTACCCACAGCACTCACAATGGGATACCGGCGGTGCTTTTCAAGGCATCAGATTACTACGACATTATGGCAGAAGAGTGCAAACTTACCATTGTTGGGCGATTTCGCAAGCCACGGCCCCAAATTGACAGACTTAGGTCAAAATTCAAGGAGTTGATTTCAATTAAGGGATCAACAAAAATTGATGTTTTATGACAACTATAATGTTTTTCTAGACTTCACCAATGAAGAAGACTTCAATACCGTTTGGTTTAGAAGGATCATTGAAATTGAAGGCCAACAGATGTGGCTGCAAAAATGGTCCCCTGATTTCAAACCTGAAGAAGACCTGCCTATTGCTCAGGTATGAGTCCTTCTTCCTGGACTTCCTTTCTATATGAACACCTGGAATTATGTTAAACAAGTTGTGAGTTCAATTGGTACACCCCTTGAGATGGACTTGGCTACTAGAGGTAGGACTAAGCCAAGCATGGCAAAGGTTAGAGTTGAAATCGAGTTTCTAAAAGACCAACCAGACTCTGTTTATGTGGGGAAAATATACGAGAATGCTCCTCAAAAAGGTTTTGTGCAAAAACTGGAATTTGAATGTGTTCCAAAATACTGTAAGTTCTGTAGAAAGTTGGGGCATAATATGATCAATTGTAGAGCTTTAGAAAGGAAGAAAGCTGCTAAAGCTAGAGAATTGGAAGCCCAGAAAGCTATGGAACACTACTGGAAAATGAGCCTATGGCAACAGCCGGAAAACCGTTGCAACAGAGAGGTTAACCGTTGCCATAGAGATATTGGAACGGTTTGGTGACCGTTACATACGCTGCCGTGCCAATAGATCTAGAGTAACGGTTCTTGGAATGGTTATCTAAACCGTTACTGGAGGACAATCTATCGCAACGGTTATTCCTCTGCCTGAAGCAACGAGTATTTCTTTCATGTTGCAACGGTTAACAACCGTACCATAGCGTTTATAGCAACGGTTGGCAGCCGTTACCATACAATTTATTGAAACAGTTATGTAAGCTATTGCAACGTTTATTTGCAGATATCCTAACGGTTTCATTACACTACTGGAACGGTCTTATTTCTTTTGCAACAGTTATAACTACCTATTGTATTNATGCTAATGCGTAGTTTTAAAAGTATGTATGCATTTCAAAAATATTATAGGGAAAAATTGGGTATCAACAATTGGTAAATTTCCCAGTTCTTCTTCATTGTTCCTGCAAGAATACACCTAATTGTAGTAATTTTAACCACTGGTGAAAAAGCCTCATTAAAATCAATTCCTTCCATTTGAGTGTCCCCTCTAACTACAAGTCTAGCTTTCATAGTTTTATATTTCAACACTTCAAGAGTTAGAGTAAGTTTCAAATGTTGAAAATAAAAGATTCCTAGAACATGGCCTGACAACAATTCAAAGTTCTTAAGTAAGGTCTAGATCTTCACAATCTCCATGTGCCCTTTCTTCCGTTGCTCCACCTACAAAAGAGAATAAATAAAGTCATTATCCTTCAAGGGTTGGTGTATCATAATAAGAATGGGTACGGTCCATAAACAATGCATAAAGCACAACGTTTTCAAATGTATTATATTCAGTAGCATGTAATAAATCCAACAGAGAAAAAGAAATAAGTTAAATACCAACTCAAAATTCTAGCTTTGCCAGATGGCAAAGTCTTGAATATGACATTTGAGAGCACGATAAATATGACATTTGAGAGCATGATAATAGATGATGGACGACGTAAACTACATTCTTGATATGGTATACTAATTAAGAACCAAGACTATAATCCTATTTAGCCCTAAACTGCTAAAAAATAAGTTTCAGAATAACCAAGACATACAGTGTTATAAAAGACCAACTATAGCAGCACCTGTTGCTAATGTTGCAGCAGTATCCCCTAGAATAACTCTTGCACAACAAGATTTTAAAGTACACAACAAGAGCTATTAGCTAGATCTACAAGGCATATTTAAAAGAAATAAGATCATACATCTACAGAATAGCTACATTGAACAGATATTTCAAGAATCCAATACCCAGATAAAAATTATTGACAGAAGGGGAAGTTTTTTTTTCAAGAAAAATAAATATAGTGAGAAATAAGAAAAAATGAGTCAAAATAGAAGAGTACTAGGAGTCAACAAGAGAAAGAGTAACATCTTCTTTTTACTTATATGATTCTTGTGGGTCTGCAAGTGAACCCCAAAACCTCAAATTCCCTAATGTCCAACCAAATAAGAGTCTTCCACTACTTGCTTCAAAAAGGAAAATATGAATTATCAAAATTGACTATTATACATGTCAGTGGAGAATAAACCACACAAGCACACATCCAAATCTAAAATTATTCTCAATAGGGAAGCATGGGTGCAGATAGGAATAACTGCTCAATATGGAAGCTTGTTGTACAGAAGCATGGGTGTGCAGATCCAAATAACTGCTTAATATGAAAGCTTAATATCCATGTAAATGGAAAGAAACCACATTAGCACGCATGCAGATACAAACAAGTGCTAATATGGAAGCTTCATATCCATGTAAATGGCACAGAAACCACATAAGCACGACTGCAGATTTGAGCTAGTGCTAATGTGCAAATTTTTTAAGTGAATGATCTCCAGATATTCTCAAAGTCCTTGATAGAACATCATTATGCAAAAGCATTCTCCATTCTTCTTAGAACAACCTAATTTTCTGCTGAAAATGCATGTCCACTACAAAGCATAACTTCTATTCTCTTTCACTTTTGAGTTCTAGGATAGTCTAATACAATATGTTCATAAGTACTAAAGTAAGGCATGAAATTACAAGAACAGAAGTGTACCGGACCAACAGAGTACACAAGAGAGGAAAAGCAGCAGCCGCGTGGGATTTTCATGGACTATATCAATATGTATGTTACTTCACAATCAGAAAGAGTAATCAAAATCTGGAGGATCACATGATATATACAATAATGAATGAAGGGGAAACAGATGGCAAGGAAGATATGCTGATCGAGGGAGCTTCAAATGGACTAGGATATGCTGGGCAGATATGGAACAAAATGATCAATTCACTAGGCAACAGAAGACCACACTGGAAAACTGAGTTAAAGGGAAACCTTAGAAAAGAAGCAGAAGGAGAAGAAGAAAGAAAGAAAGAAAGAAAAGAAGGGGTGTAACATCTGGAGTACGTACTGACCTTGATTATTACTCCCAGTAGATAGACGATTGATTAATTGCACAACAACTTGTTGTGCAGAGGAAGCTTCTCCAGGTGAACGAGCATTGAAAGCTAGCATATTGGGATCAACCCGTAAATCTGGATTCAGATGCTTAAGTTGTGAAATGATGTTAACTGCAACTTGTAGTTGGATGGCATCTTTTTGTGCATTGAACTTTTCCTGCAATCTTTGCTCCATCCTTTCTTCCATTTCCTCCAATTTTTGCTCCATCGCCTCATCAGTAGAACTTGAGGTTCCAAAATCTCCCACTTTTCTTTTTAAGGAAGTCTTGGTAACCCCACGTCCATACAATCTTAGGCGACCTGGATGCTCAGGTCCCATGACAGATGCAAATGGGTCAACTGATTGACTGCCATCTTCACTTTCTTGTGTTGATTGTATTTTTTCCATTTCAGCCTACATGACCAAATTGAGTAATTATTAAACTCAGACGAAGTATATGACACAGCGAGCCTCGCTTCTTTTCTTTGGTTTTTTTATTATTTTATTAGACTGTATGAGTATTCTTAAACGAGTGGAACGACTAAGTCAATAACTAAGAACAGACAAATCATAACAACAAACTTTAAATTAATAGCTCGTACAATTTTAGTAAGAGTATCCGCATACGAGGCCTTGTATACTCGATCGGGTTTTCTTTTTCATGTAGCCACAAAGATATCCTTGCTTGATAGAGGCTCAGAAGTTTCTTTCTTTTTTTCCTGGTTATATAAAAAGTGGTATAAAAAATTTTTAGATTAAAGTTAATAAGTTCTTATATAAAAGAATAATAAGAAAATAAAATGTCAAACCTCGCATATTCGAGCAAAACTTTTTTTGCCAGCAGTGTGTTGATATTTCAACTTTGTGCGATTCTCGGTATTGGTTTGGGACATTTTCTACAAATCAGCCAATGAATATAGAGTTGTCCAGTTCAGTTGTCCCAACAGATTCAAATCAAGCTTAAATTGTACACAGGTAAAAAAGAATGACAACTCAGACATTCTCATAGGGTTTATAATGGTCATTAAATAATTGATTCTTATACTTTCTCCAAGCATTCTGAATTGTACACAGGTAACTTAAGTGCATTTGATGTATAAAGATAGTTAAGTGATTTCTAATTAAACATAAACCATACATTTTCAGCAAATCATGGGACAGTACTAAGTTTTACCTTGTAGGCATCAGAGTTCCAATAATTAAAAAGATCCCTAAATTGAGATTCAGGAACATCAATCGCCTATTCTCCATTCGAAGCTCGTCATTCTCATAGGGTTTATAATGGTCATTAAATAATTGATTCTTATACTTTCTCCAAGCATTTTGAATTGAATCAAAAACCCACCTTTTTGCAGCATCATGAATGTCATATTTTCCCTACAAATTTGGTACAGTTAGGTTAGTGTAAAAATATGAAATATCTACACAGAATATTACGAACTTCATACCTTGATATATTTCCACATATCTTCTTTTGTTTCAAGTTTCCTCCAATTAAACACATTAAGAGGACAAAAGGCCGCATTCCTTGCCAATGTGCCGAGGAAACTACCTAACTCTGCTACAACATCAGGAGTAGGACCTATGGGTTGATTGTTCTCATTTAGCACAATTAGCTTGCGCTCTTTCCTACCATGAACACTTGGCATCAGAGTTTTGCCTCTTTTTCTTTTTTCGGCAGAAGCACCTGCATTAATATTAAGTAAGAATAATAACCATATATCCCATCAATATTATTTTTTAATATTGTTCATTTGTTCCTCGTATTGTTCATTTGTTTCATGATTGGAAGAATCCTCAAATTGTTCCTGTACCGTTTGTGAAGTACGAGTGGTGGAATCCAGTGGCAGTTGCTGCAATTGTTCACGTACTGCTTGTGATGCAAGAGAGGTAGAGTTCAGTGAATTTTGCTGCACTTGTTCATTTACAGTTTGTGCTGGAGAAGCAGAAGGCTGAGGCAGTTGCAACAATTGTTCTTGCACTTGAACTCCTAATTGCGGAAGTTGTTTTTCAATTAAATTCAGATGATGCTTGTCATTTGTCCTTGTAGATTGAACAATTCTTTTTGTTTTCAATGATGAAACTTTTTGGTTCAGCAAATATGCAAGTGATCCGGCTGCAATGCAATTTTTAGCTTTTTTGTCTTTACTTGAGTGCCCTTCCTGATTCATGACTATTCAAATTCCTGTCAAATTCAGAAAATTAAATAAAAAATAAGTTATCAAAGCATTAACAACAAGACCTTTGGGTTAATCTGGGAAATATGATGAAAAGGGAAGAGTTCTGAGAACCAACAATGAATACAACAACACACAACAGGAGTAGGAGAAGTTCTAAGAATAATTTTGACCATCTGCCCCAAGAGGAGAGCAATTTAACAATGGTAATCATAGGAATAGGATTAAGGAAGAGTATTATGCTGTTCTATGATATATGCAGATACTATTGGCATTTAAATTCAGGAGCATTTGAGGTGGTTGAAAACCAGATCAACAACTCAACGTCACCTGAAGGGAGACACATGAGGGCAAGGCACAAACCATCAAAGAGTCGCTCACACAAATACTGTCAAAATGGACAATCTCACCTAGGTGCACAACTGCTGTAGCATGGTAGAACAGGAATTTTTCAGTTAAAGGTATATTTGGACTATTACAAATCACACAGAGAGCCAGACAAAGAAAAAACAGCAAAACATTACATTGATAATGAGAGAATACACTTAATGAGCTGGGAAATGTAGCAACATACAATGCAAGGACTACAAACACTGCAACATGTACTGGATACTAACTTTGGCAGGAAATTTTGGGAAACGATGGAATCAACCTTATGGAACATCATAGGAGCCTTTACTGTTAGCTTCAATGGGAGCTTTTTGTAGGTATTTACTGATGCCCCCAGGTATATCCACAACACAAAAATGGTTTCTGTCATTGGTTCTAACACAGCATTTCTGGGGATCACACAATTGCAATACCAAACTGGGCATCAACAACACTTTTGCACCCAGGCTGCTGACATGGTATCTACATGAATGGTATGAGTGGCAAGTAAAAATGGGAGCAGGGGAGACACGATCGACAATGCTGGAGGCCATATCTATTGCAAAATGTGGGCAACTGGATAGAGAGGATACAAATATAAAGAAGCTCTGGATTGGGCACGTTCAAGGAAAAAGCGAGGCATTTTGGAAGGAAATATCAATACTCCAGCTTTATGTAGTATGTGAACTTCCAAAACATGTTAAGATTTCATGCACAAAGGCTACAACAAGAATCAGATGGAGGCTACAGGAAATGGAAGCAAAAAGCAACAAAAATATGCAGGCATGGTCTCACGGGCAACACCTTTTTTGCTGTACAATTCTGGGCTGAAGATGCAATGCAATATGATGCTATGTTACCTCAAGAAGTATTGCATCCACAAAATACAGCAGGAGCAGAAAAAGAAGTATGCAAAAAGGACAGTACAAGTATAGGCATCGCACAGTACTAGACAATACAAATACTCTCTACAGGTATATTTAATGAAAGCATGCACTACTGGGAGGAAAATTCAAGACAACTGGACAAAGCAAATGACAATACAAGTTCAGCAAATACAGCCTCAATGTGCTATAGGCTTGACAGTAGCTATCACTATGCAAAGAGGCTATTTGTGCAAACACGGGGCAGCATCACTGGAGAGTACCTCACTCACCTTTGATAATAGGGTCTATGTATTTATCAGAATGTTTAGAGAAGACAATAGCAACACTGGATGTTACAAGGCTACTGAGCCACTTTGTGAAGAAGTAATCTGAGTTGTTTGGATCATAATTGGCTCTTTTTATGCTTCATATGGACAAATAAGCTGAAACACTTAGTTCGTACCTGCCAATATTCACTGATTGTGTCGACACCAATGATGCCAAGGTCTAAATCTCCTGATACCAACTTCCGAACAAAGTCAAACACTCTTCGGCCAAAAATCCCTCTGCTATCGATGCCTCTGGACAAGCTCGATTACGAACAAACGCCTTGTATTTACATAGGTTCCTCTCAATGGAATACATCCAACGAAGATGAGCTGGACCCCCAAGCTTAATTTCATTCACCAAATGAATAGGCAAATGTGGCATTATATCGAAAAATGTTGGATGAAAAATCTTTTCAAGCTCACAATTTATTTCAACAATTACAGAATTCATTTTTTCAAGATCTCTTCGCCTTATGACCTTACTATATATGGCTCTAAAAAAATTACCCAACCTAATCAAGGCCAATGAAACACTCTTGGGCAACGTCTTTCTAACAGCAACCTGGAGCAAGTAATGCATTATAAAATGAGCATCATGACTCTTGTACCCTGATATTTTCATCTCCTTCATTTGCACGCGTTCTGAAATGTTTGAAGCACAACCTTTTGGTAACTTGGCATTTTTTATGACGGTACAAAATAAATTTTTTCTGTTTTGGTTCCTATGTAGAACAAGCTTTAGCCAAACT